GTAGCATACATTGGTGAAAAGTGCAACAACCTAAAACTGAGATCCGAGCACCCGCAGTTTTTTGAAGGTTGAGGGCCGAGCACCAGATGGTTCTTTCCATGTATAGTTGAGATTATCCATGCAAACGTATACAGTCAGCACAAAATACGTGCTACATACTACAGTTCCTCTAGCTGTCCGCGCGGAGACGCGTATTGACAGTGGGACTAAACTAATAACCCCGTTTGCCGAAGTCCGTTAACTCGCGCTGGGACTTTCAGACACCAGACTTCACAGACATAGCCAATGAACGCTTTATTACCTTACGACAAACCCGCGGACAATCTTTATACGGCTCCGCCTACAACTCGCTTTACATATACAGTGTTCTCCAATCTCCCCCTGCCGATTACGAGCACCTCATCCTCCACCGTTTTATTACTGGTCTTCCCGACCCCTACGCTACCGGCATTCTCCTCTCTCGGCCTAGCGGCGGCCATGAAGTAATGCCCGTCGTCCAATTCCAAACCGTAAAGAAGCAATGCAGATGCACCATCGCCCATGTCATTGGCAGGTGTTGGGTCATGCGTTTTTTAAAGGAGCAGGTCGCCGTAACATGCTAATGACAAAGACCGAATGCTCGACCGACCACCACCTAGTCCTTCCAGAGATGGGAATGCAAAACTAACCTCAGAGACCGTATCGGGGCAAGAAAGCATCAGGGAAAAGGAGCATAACAACACTAGACCCAGCCAAATAAAGATCGGATTCTCGCAGTAAATTGAAGGCAAATATAGAGCAAATGCGGATCCGGGAGAATGATAGAGCGAATGAATCAGTCTACGCAACAGTATTTATGTCACCGCCACAGACGCATTTCAGGCTGCATACCACGAACACCATAACTGGTATTGCGAAAGTGAAGAAGTCCCGCATCTTCCCTCTAGTGGTAATCGACTAAGCAGGACATATGCTAACAAGATGGACGCAAACACAGCCCACTTCCTTCCTTGATGGAGCCAAGTGTAGCAAAGTTTGTGGGAGATGGAGAACAAGTGGCTGACACATAAAGCAAGGGAAGTCACCGAATAATCGAACTGTTAAGAAATGGCAAACTTTCCGGCGATCCTCAACCAACTAAAACCTCGCAGGTACTACTGTCGAAGAGCTGGCAGATTCTGGAGCGTGGGGCTGAATACTTAAGGAGGCATTAGCAACCATGCATAGACTTCCATCGGTACAGACAAACGGCATTGCTTGGTTGTATTAACTGTGAGAGGCGGTCAAAACAACACCAGCCGATATTTAACAGTAAAACCCGAGGCGTCGATTCCAGCTGAAACCAGTGAACAGGACGACCCATAAATTCTTGACAAACTGGCCTCCCTGTTGTTACTTGTGCCTGATGCTGCTGTGATCATGCCTGATTTAGCCGGCATCGATTATGTCGCGTATTGTATCTCTCCACGCGTAACGATCTGCGGCAACGGATTTCGACAGCTCGACTCATTTTCTCCTGAAGCGACGGAGACCGAATATCGAAGGTTTAAGAACGACTTCCATGTCTTGATTGACTGTGTTGAGAGAGGTCTTGAGCTGACCTCTCTTTCCACACCCCGTCAAGGATGCAGCTCGAAAGCGATCTGATTTTTTCGGCGTTTATGGATAAACGACCAAAGCGTTGACTCAATTCACCCATGACACCATAGACTGTAGCTCACCGACGCTTGAGAGTATAAAGACGAAACCGTCAGCATAGTCTAGATCCGTCAGCCGGCGCTCGGGTGAAAGCTCAACACCATCAATACCATGTAGGGCCCTCCCGAGAATTCAATCAATGACCTAGCTGAACACAATGAGCGGCAGGATGCAACCTTGTCGAGCAACAGACCCGATGGTTGGGAGATTGCTATGGACCGGGACTCGCAAATTAGTGAAACGGCAGGTCTTGATAATGGCGATGATTTTGGCCGACACACCATCTGGTTCTATTATTCGCCACATGGACTCACGACGAACGGAATCGAACGTAGTGGCAAAGACAACAAAGCAGATGGCCGCCGGTTGCTGGCAGTCATTGGCAAATTCCAGGACACGCTTTAGTGTGAACATCCAGTCCGCGAATCCATACCTAGTTCGGAATCCGGTTCGGTTGGGCCTCGTCCTAGAGCTCCGCACAGGCTGCAATCGTCTTCCCGCTTGCTAAATCACCTAGTGGAACCAGGGCGGCAGGGTCGACACAAGACTTGTAGATTTCAGGAGGAATACTGTCGTATCCAGGGGTCTTGTTGTCACACAGCCTTTGAATTGTAATTACTGCGATGCTACTGGGTGAATCCACGAATTCCGTCAGCCACCCCATAGACTAATGACTTCAGTGATAACCATTGGCCAATGCCTTCTCCTTCGGCTTAGGTCGTAAAACGAGACCGGATCCCTAAGCTCAGGGCCCGACAGTATTCGGTTATCGGAATTTTGCGACATTAAGGCGGTTCGGGCGTGGCATTTTGGGTGCAGATGAGGGGTGAACTTTCACGTATGTTCGGACGATATAATGGGCACACCCATGGATGTTACCAGTTTCGGTACCACACGTCTATGTGCCATCGTGAACCCAGCTGCAGAACCTTAAACCAACTAGAATGTAAACGATCTGGCTGGTCCTCACTTTTCTAATACTAGGTCAACAGATATTTGTGGCGATGCCAGAAGCATATGCTGGTGACATTCGGTCCTCATCAGCGAAATTCGGCATTCTCTCACCATTGTAGCATCGAAAGCCAAGCCCAAAACTGCCAGTAATATGACTGTTTGAATAGTCACCAGGTCCAATCCCCGGCAAAACCCAGCAGGTCACGGCGGGGGAGTCTTTCAACTACTTCCTGCAGCTACGAGGTCTTTTTATTGCGCTGTTCGGCAGCTGATGTTGGGGCGTGCAGACACGATAGACGTTCGTAAAGTGGCCCTTCAGTCGCAAGTAAACCATCCAGTCATTGACTGGTCCCCATGCAATTGGTTCATGGTTTGCTTTTCCCGAGAGCGATGGCCACACCGCGTCTACCTGAAGAGCCGCGTGAGCCACTTGGCACAAGGAGAAGTGGGGTTAGACCGCGCTGTTTATTTCCTGAGCGCCCGAGTCGGGGATTCGGACTTCAGACGGGCAGCTGGCATCCACGTTGTACTAATGAAGACTGCGCGCCGCCAGATTTTGGGTACCAGTGTCCAGAGACGTTCGCACGTTCCAGAATATAACATCAAGAATCAGTTGCCGGTTAAGTAATGCAGCTGGCATGTTATTCCCTCGCTCCACTGGAAAAGGGTTGCGGGCGCGATGGTCCCCGTAGACGCCATGGCATGGATAGTAATACTGTAGTCGGATATTTTCAGGTTCCTTCGGGATTTTAAGTACAGGCGGGTCCCCCGCAGCAGCTCGAACTGTTTGTTCGAGGTCGTCTCCTCTGGCGCTTTGGCTCGAGAACCGGACCACAAGACAGCGGTGGCAAGTAAACTTATTTAATGACAGTCCACGGTCGCCAGGTCACAGTACCGTCATCAGGCTTAGCAACAACTTATGAGGCAGTCAGTGTGCCAGACCTCAGCCCTCCGCACCCTGGTGGCATTATCGCTGCTGGTCCGCGACTGCCTATTCACCAGACCCGAGGGCCCGCTTATTTCGCAGCTAACCCTCGCTGAAGGCTGTTCCACTATCCGCCACTTATGGACGTGCCGGGTAAGCAGCAGCTAGGCGACACGGTGTCAAAGATAAGTCCGACGGAACTTAAAGGACACCATAATTAGCATTTCTACAAGCTAAGACGCAGCCGATAGGGGTGGTGTGCCTATCACAACACACCCTTGATCAGCACAGCAAGCCAAGTTGTCGCCCGCGTTTGTCTGAATCATCTGACTCTAGCATCTGGGGCGATATTTTTCCAGGGGTAAAATGCCAACTCCAGAATAACCGCGGAACAAGCTACGAGTGTCAAGAAGTGAACAGCGGACTCTTAAAAAAAGCCAACGGCACAGTGAACAATGGTGAAGTCTGGAGAATTTCGAGAAAATAAGGATGTCGCGGAAAGTCGAGGATGGCGATGACGATGGAGAGTCTACAACGGCGTGATCGCAAGCGTTATGGAGAACGTGCCAACATTAGGGGGCCACGTGTTGGCAAAAGGAGTTAAGACGGTTCTTATGTCTTAACCGATGCCCATCGAGGAATATGCGGAGCACATAACCGCAGTCAACAGTCATCGTATTAGTGTTGTGGACCAGTTCTCCCAGCCAGGAATTACCACTTTAGAATCCACGATCACTTCACCCAAAATCCATGGCCATCTAGCCCGTGACCCTTAATCTGGAATCACTATAGTACCCTCAGAACCAATAACAAAACATAAAGGGCTGTCGTTCTGACAACGCCAACTCAGCGCAAACACACTGGCATTTTACCAAAGCCAAGCAAGTAAGCTCAACTAGCCTTACCGTCTTCGGGGATGCTGCAATTGAAGTAACGGAAATGAACCTTGGACACTTAGGTCAAGAATTAGACTGGCATACTCGGAATATTTGCAATGCCAGTGTAGTGACCGCATCGCGAAGACGACCATGCGGTTTTGCCGAAGCGACCTTTCTACGCTGTCGAATGGGCGCTCGCCGGGAACGAAGAAAGCTGTAAAATACTAAGAACCTGACCTATGCGCCTCAAAAGTTACCTTGGGAACCCCAGCAGACAATTGATAGGTTTGGTGACCTATTTTAAAAATTCTAGCGGCATTATGTTGGTGATAAACGCACAACAGAAAAAGCCACATTCAGAACAAGTTTAGGATATAAAACAAGTCACTGCTTGGTAGCATGAACACAGAACAAACCTAAAACAGTGGGCTCACAGAAGCGGGACGGCTGGGAATAAAATATAAAAATAGTTGTCGGTCAAGAAAGTCAGTAGGACTGGGGTCCGTGACGGCGGGACTTGGGGCGCTGATTGATCATCAAGGGAGGACGAAAAATAATGGCGACTCTCACCACAGAGTCCAAGGCCGGTGGTGAGCGACGGCAATGGACGCCCCAACACTGTTTACAGGGAAGTTTACAACTGCATATTTCAAACCGAAGGCTTCAAGTCGTGTGAGGATTTCTAGACTGGAGGCGGAATAAACATTTTTCCTGTTAAAAGTAGAAGTTATTCGCGGTGCATGCACGGCAGACAAATAGAATGTCAAAAAAACACGCAAACGGTAAAGCCGCACGCACGAAAGTGCGGAACCACCCGCCGAATTAACGGCCTCAGTATAAATACAAAGGGGAAGTTAACTAAAAAGGTCCTCTAGTGATTTGCCTAGTACATATCAGTCGATACTGCGGCATAAGGCTGCAGACCAGGGACATACACGAGTTCTGGGGACGGGAAGGTCTTACGGTTAACCGTCGGCCAGCACATAGGAAGCCATAATGACAACACGCAATTTGAATGAGGACACATAACTCTTTATAAAAACAGAATAGAAATACAGGACACAATTCGGAAAACATACGCAGAGCGACCCCGCATAAATGCGCACGGTATTGTGATTTGCCGGGAGGTCTCATCCTGAATCATACTCAAGGTCCAAGACGACGTATTTACATAGTCGTATGCTATAAAGGCGACAGCACCAGCTGCTTGGGCGTAGACAGCCTTTGTAACAAAACTGCAACCCCTGTGCAGTGGTAAAGCATGCGAATAAGGAGTTACCCGCGGATTGCAAACGCTATGTTGTTGCTCACCTCTAACGAATTTTCAATTGGTGAGCATGCACTAGGGGGCACTGTCGGGACCAGCTTGGTGTAAAAGAACGTGGAATTCTAAAGCATAAATGGAAAACGGTAAATACTAGCTCAGAGCCAATTTTTGCCGTCGATAAGTTGTAAAGGGAGTCTGTAACATGTGGTTCCAGTAACTGCAAGTATACGTAGTCCGCAGTCGCAGCTATCGCGGCCAGCATGACTAAGAAAAGATAACAAATGCACAGGGAATGATTTACAAGACAAAAAGATGGTGATATACCACAACGACCGCCAACAGTGCACCGACACACATAAAGATATCATTTCCAAGCAGTCCCGAAACGTTTAGTGTCGATGCGGAAGCACAGAACGGTACTGTAATTGGTGCCAAATCAAAGAAAAGTGGTTATTTGTAACAGACACTCGGACGTGGGCAGCTCCCCCTGGACATGCCTAGGCCCTGAAAGGGAGTGAGGAATTGACACTTTCTTGCGGAATGGTTCCGCAGACCATCCGGTGATTGGTTGAACACTCACGTGAGTTACGATAGCGTCTGCGTATCTTGTTGAGTTGAAGTTCCTCAAAATCGTGTTCAGGCGATATTCCCAGTCCTTGAGAAGCCGGGAGGTTGCCACTATGCAGCTTAGCCAGGTATGAAATATTAAAATAAGTGCATTTTACGCGACTGCCTACCATAACATAGCATGAAATGCCCTCTTGATTTTTGATGTGTTTCATAGAAAGAGAGACGATATCTCTGCAACCTCCTAAAAAGTGAACCTTATCCATCACTTTATGCCGACTAGAAAGGTCGGGATGGCAGGAATTTTCAAGGGACATGATCAACAGGATTTTCGTTCGCTACATTCTAATTCACTATAAGTTTTTTTGACAACCACTCCATAATATGAAGGCATTAGCACATAGAAATTTTTGGTTCAGACTGCCCAGTTTAGGAGAGTAATGCAAAACGACATATTAAACAGCTGCGATGAGCTGATGACCAGGATAAGGGAGTATGTGAAGGTAAGTGAAAGTACAATTATCCTTTGTGGAAACATCCGGCAACAAATTAAAACTTCAGGATTTCTCACTGTTGTAAGCCGCTGGAGGACCAACTGTCAATGCTAGTAAGTCAGATATTGCAGTGCTGGCATGTCTGTGAGTAAGCATGCTGAGTTGATGAAGGGAGAGCTAACGGCAAGTACTGGCGATATTAAGTTGGGCCTGACAATAATTAAACGTTATTCCCAATGTATTTTTTTCAGGACTGTCATTACCGTCTGTCTTTTGGGTGGCCTTTATTTTTTCCCGTGTTTGTTTTAACTAACCACGGCAATGGCTATGCCGTTACGTTTTGGTTTTTTGGCTGCTACAAATGCATGCATGGGCAGATTTTATCCGCATGCTGGCCAACTAGCCAGCACCCCTTCAGACAACAGAATCGTAGTTTGATTCTTCCGTCTGGTCTTCAGTCTAGCAAAATCTTAAGATGTATGCATTTTCGTTTACTTTCTTATGTAAGTCAGTTTAAGTCAGTTTATTAAGGGAAGGAGGCTTTCGCCCTTGAGCACCCTATTCATGTCGATAAACAGAAATAAAGTCATCAATTACATCAGCCAATGCGAAAAGTTAAGAAGTTAGTGGTAAGTGTGAGCAAGGCGCAAACTGCCGCCGCTAAAACAATCATTATTGTATGTACAGTAGGTTCTCAACAAATGAGCGTCTAGTCATCACTTAAATGATTTAACACTGTCGGAAAGAACGACGGCATCAGGGAGTCCATTCCATGCCCCGATGACCCTGTGTGAGAAGGCCTTCCGTCGGACGTCCGAATGAGCCCGCTTCCTTTGCAGTTTGAACGGATGACCACGCAGACGGTCAGTCCGGGCCAATTCAACGAATTCATCAAAGTCTAGGGCACACTCATGGCTTCTGACAATCCTGTAGGTTTGAATGAGATCGCCGCGCAGTTGCCTGTAATTTAGAGGAAACAGATTTAGTTCAGTCAGCCTGGTTTCGTAAGGCAAATGATGAAGATTCTTGACCATCTTCGTAGCCATCGCCTGTAATCTATCCAGTCGTTGATAATCTTTCTTTAACCACGGTCGCCAGGCCTGGACTGCATACTCTAAGTGAGACCGGACGAATGTCCGATAGGATTTTCCGAACAGCTGTTTATCGATCTGCACAAATCCTCGCCTCAGCGCAAATAACACCCTTACCGCACTTTTGGCTGCCCTTTGACACCGTGAAGATGGTTTCATCGAGGAGGTCATTAGGACTCCCAGGTCTTTCTGTTCCACAACATTTGAAAGGGACTGACCACCAAGGACATATTGAAAGGAATCGTCCTCCTTACTGGTCTGTCTGGTGCGGAGTCTCAGGACCACACATTTGTCCACATTAAAATTGAGGAGCCAGCGAGCTGACCAACTGTTTAAGCGGTTGAGACTGTCTTGAAGCGCGTACCTGTCTGCATCAGATCTGATGGGTCTCCACAGCGTAACATCGTCAGCAAACATAATGGCACTGCATCCCAGGTCGTCGACGCAGTCGTTAATGTAAACCAGGAATAGCAACGGTCCTAAGATGGAGCCCTGGGGTACACCACTTAGAACGGGGGTAGGAGTTGACCTTGAGGCCTCAATGCACACGGTTTGCGATCTCCCGGTAAGAAAATCTGTTATCTATGTCAGCAGCCTTCCTCTTATCCCAATTTCAGAAAGTTTGTAGATAAGGCGTTTGTGTGGGACGCTGTCGAACGCCTTCTTAAAGTCTGTGTATATGACATCAATCCTCCCATCCTCATCCAGTGCGCGAGTCCACTGCTCCGTCGAGAGCAATAAACTGGAAAGACACGAGCGGTTCTGTCTAAAGCCGTGCTGCAGGTCTGAGATTAAATGGCCCTGCGCCAGGAACTCCATAGTTGCTTTCTTAACTATGGCCTCCATTATTTTACAGCAGATGCAGGTTAGACTAACAGGCCGGTAATTGTTAGCATACGTGCGAGCCCCGCCCTCGTATATCGGAAAGATATTTGCTGTCTTCCATTCCGATGGCAACCTCCCTAATTCGAATGAAGAGCGGAAGATGTGCGCCGGTGGTTTGGAAAGTTCATTCGCCAGTTTCTTCAAGAATTTGACCGGAATATTGTCCGGACCCGAGGACTTTGCTTTTTTGAGATTTTTCAGCTCCCTTTCCACGGCAGCTGCCGGGAAGAGTATGGAGTCAAGCACGGGACCAACAGTCTCAAGAGGATTGCCGGCACTGCGACAGCGAAACTCTGTTTCTCTAGTAAAAACGGAGTTAAAATACTGTCCTAAGTGTTCGGCTTTCTCGTTGTTCTCAATGATCTCTACACCATTACCATCCTTCAGCACCGCGACCGGGTCCTTATTTTTCAGTCTACTGTTCAGATAGTGAAATAAAATCTTAGGCTTCTGTTCAGCCTGTCGTATAATTTTGGATTCATACTCCTTCCGTGCCTGACGGTTACATTTTTTGACGGCGTTTCGTTGACGACGAAATTCTTCGAAATGCGCTGGTGACGCAGTTTCCCTGAATATTTTCCATCTTTTGCTTTTCTTCCGTAGCTGCTTGCTTAGGTCCCTAGTTAACCAAGCAGGTCGACTAGTTGTTTTTTGTACTTTAAGTGGACAACAGCGCCTAATCAGATCGAGTGAAATCGTTTTAAAAGATCTCCAGTCGTCCTCCGGATCTCCCCTGAATATTTGGTCCCAATTCACGGACAGCAATTCGTTCTTCATCATATTAAAATCTCCCTTCCATATATTAGGTTGGCCCTCTGTTCTCTTCTGGCGTTTAGAGAAGAGCGAGTAATCCCATAGTAGCGTAGTATGGTCACTTTTCCCGAGAGGTGCATTGGAATACACTTCGTCGATATTAGAGAAGTCTTTAGTGAAAACTAGGTCTAGACAATTTGCTCTCTGGTTCTCTCGAAATCTTGTTGGTACCTTCACATGTTGCGCCAGAGGGCGATCGAGTGTGAGGTCCAGTAGCTTATTGCTGAAAGAGGCTGGTCCACCATTAACTGCCATAGTTTCCCACTCTATTGCAGGTGCGTTGAAATCCCCAGCAATAAGTACCTCTTGGTGGCTAGCTACGTCTTTGACTAAACCAAGGAGCGACTAATCAGCTGCACTTAGAAGATTTGGTGGTCTGTAAATCGCCAGAAATTCTAGATTTTGTGCATTGCTCTTCTTTATCTTTATCCAGACGGATTCATATTCAAGGGATGGGGTGTGGACTCTTTCAACTGCTGAAATTCCTTCCCTTACATATACGACTACCCCTCCGCCCTGCCTATTTTGACGGTCTCTACGAAACAGCTGGTAACCCGGTATCGAAATCTCAGAATCCATGATTTCGGCTTTAAGCCAAGTTTCCGTTATGGCGATGACGTCGGGGATTTTTTTCCGGTACTCTCGCTTTGAGTTCGTCGATTTTCGAAACGAGACTTTGAGCATTGGTATACAAAAATATCAATTTAGCACGAGCAACCCCGGCATACTGGCGTTTATCCATTTCTTGGGATTGAATGCAAAAGCCGGTCGGAGCTGATCGGGATGAACTGCTTTCCATCACTCCTAAGCTGTTAGAGTTATGGGCTTTCTCCAGAGGAATGGCCTCTGGACGCGTATAATTTTTCCGTCCACTATTCGGAGATTTGTCTCGCCCAGACTCGACCGCCTGAGGACTTCCAATTTGAGCCCCCTCCATTTTTCTCGCTCCGCGGGTGAAAAGTCCCGCTGAAAAAAAAAACTGATGGATGGGCGTGTTTAAGCGCAGCTTTCCTGCTCAAAAGTAGCTGTGCTTGTTCGTCATTCTCAAAGACAATTTTTAACGGTCTCGGTCGGTCTGGATCTTGTTTTGAGTCTTTAATTTTGCCCATCCTGAAAGCCTTAATACTGTGACTTTTTCGTCTCTTATTAAGATCGATTTGAGATATTCCTGGAATATTTCTATGTCATGCTGTATTCTGTCCTTTGGAGTGTCGGAAACAGACTCAGGCATGCCCTTTATAACAATGCATTTACTGCGATCAACTAGACGGCCTTGTGGTATAATCATATCTACAGAGTCTTCATCGCGTGCATCCCGGCTACAACCTTCCATCGATTTAGGAAAGTTTGATTCAGCAGGACTAAAGCATGACTGCCTGTTTACTACGATCTTTTGATCATTTTTCGTTTTCAGCGGCGCGATTTTCGTGTGCTGCGTAGCCAACTCTTGTTCCCTCGTCTGACTCTCTGTGTCTTTTTGAGGTACCCTGAGATTTCTTTTTGCTCGCTGAGATCGCG